CTCCTCATGATCAAATACAAAAAGAAGGTATTGACAGTATTTAATGAAGGGTGCAGACTATTGCTATCACCTGTTCCTTATGCCTTGTGTTGAATTTGATGTCTCTTTTCTCTTGAGGAGAGCAGAAGTCTACCAAGTAAAGAATTTAGTTTTTCTTTGGGTATTGAACTTTTGCTATGTGGATATTGCAAATAAAGAAATAATTGGCTTTGTGGATCAGTTAAGAGCATCTATTATGGGAAATGGTAAGAGGATACTCAAGAGTACTTACCAGCATCTGGAAAATTACCTTGCTCTGGAATTAATGAGCTATGTATTTAAGCTGCTGTTACAGTCACTGAGACTGTAGAGTCCTACAAGAGTTCTTGTGTTAAACACCACTGATTAATCAGTCACGTGGTTCTGAAAATGCTCTGACTGCTCTCACTGCAGTGACAATTCTGGATACCTGGTTTGCATAACTAAACTTAGAGTATTAGTGTTGTACCAAGACACAGCTTTTTCTGTATATATATATATATATATGTGTTGCATTTCTCCAGCTTAATTGTCATTAACTGGACATGTTGACATTTTGTCTTCTTCCAGAACCCAGTGGTGAAGATAATCATGGGCCAGGATCTTCTGCATTTCTCACTAAGTTCTCAGAATACCCGAGGTAATGAAGCTGAAGCTCTGACTTCACAAACACTATTTTAGACTGAGAACAGTTTAATTAGACACCTAGGAAAAAGCTCTGGCCTACAGAGCCATGTAGTCATTAATTTGGAGAGGTCTCCCTTCTTGAGGCAAACATTCTATGTTTTCATAAGATCTTGGTTTCTACTTAGGCACAAATCAAAAGGGCACAGAACTAGCAAGCCCAAGTTAATGAAGAGCTCAAGTTGAATGCTTCTAAAATTCTGTGGGTTTTTTTCTGAAAAATCTCAGGATTCTTAGAATGGAAGTTTCACAAGTTAGCTATAAAGTTGTCTTATAATACTGAGACTGGAGAAAGAAGTCAAAACGTTGAGTAGAATATTAATTAACTTAAGTATTAATAGAAAACTAATAGAAGTTATCCTACCCTGAATGGATGTGTCAGTGCACAGCTTTCATGCAGGTATGTTCTCTTCTAGATGAGAACACTAAACTCTTTACAAAAGGTCACTTCTTGGAAAACAAACACCCACAATTTAATAGGTGTCAAAAAAAAAAAAAAGGAATGAGCTTGTATAGCTCAGTTCCCAAACATTGCTGATTCCTTTGGATCACAGGCTGTTGTCTCCAACAGTCCTTGCCTAAAGGCAAGGGACTTGGATTTCACTGAAACAAACCCTTGGCTTTACTGACCCTAAAGCAGCACCTGGTCTCTTCACAGGTACCCTCAAGGAAGCAGCATTGCAGGGGAACTCGTGAAAGGAGCTTTGTCAGTTGCTGCTTCTGCCTACAAAGCATTATTTGCTGGACCACCCATTATTGAACAGGTGAATGTTTTTCCTGTGTGCTGTGTGAGTTTCATAGAATGACAACCTTAAATTTATAGGTGTATGTGTTTTAAGTGTATCTATATTCTATGCTGGAGCCAATGTAAGAGTAAAATGTTAAGTTTGATGGCGCCCCTTTGAGGTTTGCTGCTCTCAGCAGGCTGGGAAATCCATGCCACAGGGGTGGAAGCATGTCTCTGGTAGCATCATGCAAGAGCAGTAACTCACCTTTGTAAGTGAGCAGTGAAGGGATTATAAATGCCTTAAATGGGGCCAGAAGAGCCTCTGTGCCTCAGTTTGATTCTGGTATAATGCAGGGCCCCTAGTTCAAATGGCAAAAAATAAATTACCTTTTTTAGCTTATCTTACTGTCTTTTGTTTTCAGCAGCCTGCAGCTCCAGAAGAGCAGACTGCTGCTCTGCTGTCCAGCCTGTGTGAGATGGGATTCTGTGACAGGCAGTTAAACCTGAGGCTGCTGAAGAAACACAACAATAACATGATTGAAGTGGTGACTGAATTGCTTCAGATCAGCAACAGAGACTGGTGCAGTAGGTGCTAAACCTGCCTGCTGGAGAGAGGAATAGTCTTCATTGAGTAAACTGTAATTAAAGATTGCAAGAGTAGCAAGCTGCTCCTCAGTGCTGTTTGGAGGTTTGACTTGAAACTACGGCTTTTCTTTGAGTATTTGACTTTTTTTTTTTTTTACCCTCATGGAAATGTCAAACAAACCTTGTGGCATCTCTTGAAATGGATACCAGAATTTCAGTTGTTATTTGGACCTCATAGTTCAATGTGTAGTCTTTAAATCTCTAATTTCAGATCAAATCCTTTTGCCAGAGAATCATGTAGAACTAAACTTTTCAGATGAGAACTTCCCATTTAATTGTGTATGCACCTTTTTTTTTTTTTTTTTTTTTTTAGGCAGCTGAAATTTTTTTGTTGGCTTATTAGCTTTGGAATAGAAACCAGCATAAAATGTAGTCCTGCTTAATTTACAAGAGTTGCCTGAAACTAGGAGTTTCTTTGTTTCTTCTGAGGATTTAGTAATTGGTTTTCCAATGTGTGATAGTAAAGTGACAAATTTAAATCTTACAAATTATTCTAAGAACTTACTCATAGAAGAAAGCCATCTTGAAGCATCAAACGACTTTTGAAAAGTCTGAAAGTGTAACTGCAGTTAAACTGATGAATACCAGTAAAGCTGTTGCTTGTTGTGGCAGAATGAAGGAGGAGAATTACACCAGCAATTGAACCAGTAATGATAGTGCACACCAGATCTTTAACAGTAGAAGTATAACCTACATAAAATATTTTGTTAAAAACAGATTGTAAGGGTAGGAAAGGCTTTTCTAGGAATCTTTACAGGCTCTTTGTAAAAATACTAAAAATTTGACCATTACCTTTTTTCACTATAGTGCAAACATTTTACTCTGTTAATACGACATAAAATGCAAGAATGTATAGGAACCCAGATCTGAACTGGAGTACAGATATTGGTAATGCTTAGGAAGGGAAAGAATGCTTGAAGCAGGGATCACATAACTTTACATTAGAGCTTGAAAAATGCATTAACTTAAGCACTTTTAAATGTACAGTCTCCTGTGATGGTTTTAGCTGGTCCTGTGTTTCCATAGCCACGTCTGTAGAACTAATCTTTCTCATAAGATTTTTAGATGCCCATATTTAATTTGGAAATCTAAGAATTCCCTTCTAAATATGCTGAGAGATTTGATTCTGAAGAAAGACAGAAATGAGCACCAGACACTGCTATGCAGTGGGGTATCCACAGATAACTCCTCAGAGTTCAGTCCCTCAGCAGGTGACAGTGTTGGCTTCGTTTTTACTTTCAAGTAAACATTTTTCCTTGCTGCAGTAAGAGACCATTGATTCTAAAATATTTTAGATTACTCCTGCTCCAAACTAGTGTTCTGTTTTGTCACAGTATAGCTGAAGCAGTGTCAGTATTGTGGCTGACCAGTTAACAGTAATTTTTTAAAAGACTTAGTACCCATAAAGTTAAAATACCGTTAAAATAGTTCAAGAAAACAAATGTATGATACCACTTTCGTTTTAAACCTATTTTTATAGATTGTGAAAGATATACTCTTAAATGTTTATTTTGAAATACAGTAGAAGTATTTTGCAGTGTTTCCCATCTCTCTGTACACCAGTACAACTGTGTGCTGTGGACCAGTTAAAGATCCTTCTGTAACTTTCCATCTTAACTCGGGTGTGTTGTTTTGAGTATCTTTTGACTAATGCCAACTCTAGAACAAGGAGGAGGAAAGGAGGGGGGTGAAATGCAGAAGCTGATGACACTTTGAAGCATGGTGTGGTTATTTGCTTGGGTCTGTCAGGCCCAGCAGAACCCATGTTCACCGTGTGTACCTTTGTACTTGGAATGCTGATGTGTTCTATGAAATACAAAACTGAAACTTTGGAGGAGGAACACTTCATTGCGTGAGATGCTGTTCTCTTTACGTTACTTTTTACTAGAGTTTAGATGCTGTATGCTCAGGCCTAAGATAGGTATATTTCTGTTGGCTTTGTATATTTTGTTAATGGATGCATGATATAATTTATAATATATATTCTATAGAGCAGATGTGACCTCTGTATCTTATTTCGGGTGAGCACAGGTGTCGGGGGCTGGGATGGGGTTCCTGGCCCTGTTCCTGCCGCGGGCTCTGGACCAGCACGGGCGGTGGCACCGCAGCCCGACTGTTCCCGTGCCCTGGCCCTCCCTCGCCTTTCCGCTTTGCTCGAGGAAAGCGTTTACACGGCCGAGCCGGTTCGCCCCGACTTGCACCCACCCAGGCTCTGTCCCCCGGCGGGCCCGCCCCGGTGTCCCCCGGCGGGCCCGCCCCGGTGTCCCCCGGCGGGCCCGCCCCGGTGTCCCCCGGCGGGCCCGCCCCGGTGTCCCCCG